TCGGCACCAGTGTCGATCAAGAGACAGAACCCCGTGGACTTGTCGGTGACATAAAGAAGGCGACTCGATCGAAACTGGCCAGCTGTGGTCGGCATTATTACTGGCTGTCGAAGTCGGTTTCTGAATGGGATTGTTTGCCGTAGTTGCACGACGGGATGCACTTACGTGCCTTCAAGCCGTGCATAGGCTCAGACTTCGGATCTCGCCACTTAGAGTAGGGGCGGTCATGTTGCCCACGACCCAACTGAGGAACACTAATGACGGAACCGCAGCCAAGATATCTTAGTAGGTAAAAGCTACTCGAAGCATCAGCTGATCACGAGTGGCGATTGACAAGGCACTGTCTTCAGTCCTCTTCTCTCCATTCTTTAAAGTAAAGAAATTTCAACACTGTCCAAAAATCGGCATGATTTTTAGCCGATAATCGTAATTACATTTACTCATTTTTAAGGACACTGACAATCGTTTCGTGGACAAAATTAAAGCATGCTTACTTACGCTGTCCGCTGGAGCCCAAGTAGGCAGATGGAGATTATTTCACCCTTCTCTCGAACGGGGAATACAGGTGACTATTTGCATGTAAACGCTAAAATCATGGTATGACGTGTTCTTTTCTCATCGTCACCTTCACGTAGATTTATTTATGGCCCAATACCATATTCTATTACTAGAACTTCCGTGAAGTCCATTCGAATACTTGTAAATCTGGGATTGAAATACGCAGGCAACTGAATAAGCAGAATTTGGAGGAATTGTGTGACTGACATCCGGTAATTCTGCCCAATTTTTACTGGTAGGGGTATTCAACTCAGCCGAAATACCGCCACTCTCCGGATTTCACGATGCTGCCAACAGCCAAGGGTGAGTAGATTCTTCACGATTAATACATTTTATTTATAAACTTGCACTGTTTATTGCCAATAACCCATTACCTTACTTTCAGCTCGTGAGTGGCAACAGTTGCAATCCAAGAAGTATGCAGAGAAGACAAAATTCGGTTTTGTGGACACACAGAAGGAGGATATGCCTCCAGAACATGTCCGCAAGATCATACGAGATCATGGTGACATGACAAACCGAAAATTTCGTCACGACAAGCGAGTCTATCTTGGTGCCCTCAAGTATATGCCACACGCAATTCTGAAATTACTCGAAAATATGCCCATGCCCTGGGAACAAATCCGCGACGTCAAGGTAAATGTTTGATATTTTACTGACATTTCCAAGGTCCTTTATCACATAACGGGTGCAATCACGTTTGTGAATGAAATTCCATGGGTTGTCGAGCCCATCTACATTGCTCAGTGGAGCTCTATGTGGATCATGATGCGTCGCGAAAAGCGAGATCGCCGTCACTTTAAGAGGATGCGATTCCCACCTTTCGACGATGAAGAGCCGCCTCTTGATTATGCTGACAACATTCTCGACGTTGAACCCCTAGAACCCATTCAGATGGATCTTGATCCCGAAGAAGATGGTGCGATCGCGGAATGGTTCTATGACCGCAAACCTCTTGTAGAAACGCCGTAAGGTTCTTTTTAAATATTTTTCTTTGTAGTTTTTTTGCTCAAAGCAATCTGCTGATATCATAGGGCATCTTTATTTTAGGCTTTTAACAATCAAAAACTGACTCGTCTTTATCTTATAAACTCCTGTTTTCTCTTCCAGATACATAAACGGTACCACATATAGACGTTGGAACATCCCTCTCCCGATCATGTCTAACCTCTACCGTCTCGCTAACTGTTTATTGACTGATCTGGTGGACGACAACTATTTTTATCTGTTCGACCTGAAGTCATTTTTTACATCTAAGGCCTTAAATGTTGCGATTCCCGGCGGACCTAAGTTTGAACCTCTCGTGAAAGATAAAAATCTTGAGTAAGTATTCACTTTAATGCTGATATTTTCTTAGTGATGAGGACTGGAATGAATTTAATGATATCAACAAGATCATTATTCGTCAGCCCATCAGGACGGAATACCGGATCGCGTTTCCGTATCTGTACAATAGCTACCCTTTCCAAGTGCATCTATCTTGGTATCATTATCCTAATGTCCTGTTCATAAAAACGGAGGATCCCGACCTTCCGGCATTTTATTTTGATCCGTTGATCAATCCAATTTCCCAGCGCCACGCTGTTAAAGTGATTTGAATTTCCTCAAGTTCTACGTTTAAGGTCCCTGAAGCTCATATTGACGAGGATCCCGACGAGGACTTCACCCTCCCAGAGGACTTTCGATCGTTTATGAGTGACACTCCCCTCTACACTGATAATACGGCTAATGGAATAGCACTACTCTGGGCACCTAGGCCATTTAATCTCCGATCCGGTAGTAGTCGTAGAGCTCTAGATGTTCCTCTGGTGCAAAGTTGGTATCTAGAACACTGCCCTTCGGGAATGCCGGTTAAAGTAAGTTTTGCACTTCGAATTTATGATTTCAATTCCAGGTTCGGGTTTCGTACCAAAAACTCCTCAAATACTTCGTTTTAAATGCCCTGCACCATCGGAAGCCGAAGCCCATGAAGAAAAGATATCTGTTCCGATCGTTTAAGTCGACTAAGTTCTTTCAAACCACTACCCTTGACTGGGTGGAGGTGGGTCTCCAAGTCTGTCGCCAGGGCTACAATATGTTGAATCTTCTAATTCACCGAAAAAACCTCAACTACTTGCATTTGGACTATAACTTCAACTTAAAGCCTGTGAAAACTCTTACCACAAAGGAACGTAAAAAGTCACGCTTCGGTAATGCCTTCCATTTGTGTCGAGAGATCCTCCGTTTGACAAAACTCGTCGTGGACAGTCATGTGCAGTATCGCCTAGGGAACGTTGATGCTTATCAGGTGAGAACTTATCTTCATCGCCCCACTGCTTTACTTCTAATTTTAATGATGAGACCGCAGGGGTCCAGAAGGTAGTTGTTATGTGAACTACCCAGCTGCTCACCGGTGGCTCCCAGAGCACCAATCGAGAGCTGTGAAACTGCCTTTACTGATTTTACTGATGTTATATCGTTCATTTTTCTCTTCCATAAGCCTAACTCCAGTTGCGTGCATTTTTAGCTGGCTGATGGTCTGCAGTACATCTTTTCCCATGTTGGTCAACTGACTGGGATGTACCGTTACAAATACAAGCTGATGCGGCAGATTCGCATGTGCAAGGACCTCAAACATCTGCTTTACTACCGCTTCAACACTGGTCCGGTTACCAAGGGTCCGGGCGTCGGAATGTGGGCTCCTGGTTGGCGTGTCTGGTTGTTCTTTATGCGCGGCATTACTCCACTTTTGGAGCGTTGGCTTGGCAATCTGCTTTCCCGACAATTTGAGGGTCGACACTCAAAGGGCGTTGCGAAGACAGTGACTAAACAGCGCGTTGAGTCTCACTACGATCTAGAGCTTCGCGCGGCAGTAATGCATGATATTATCGATATGATGCCTGAAGGCATCAAGCAGAACAAGGCAAGAACTATTCTGCAGCACTTGAGTGAGGCTTGGCGATGCTGGAAGGCAAATATCCCGTGGAAGGTAGGTGTTTCTTTCACTTTTGCCAATACTTTCAGGTACCAAATATGCCGATGCCCATTGAGAATATGATCCTTCGTTATGTCAAAGCTAAAGCTGATTGGTGGACTAACACAGCACACTACAATCGTGAACGTATTCGTCGTGGAGCGACAGTTGACAAGACTGTGTGCAAAAAGAACTTAGGCCGCCTCACTCGTCTGTATCTGAAAGCTGAGCAAGAACGACAACACAACTACTTGAAGGATGGTCCGTATATTACTGCCGAAGAGGCTGTGGCAATTTACACCACTACAGTCCATTGGCTGGAAAGTCGACGATTTTCACCTATCCCATTCCCTCCGTTGAGCTACAAGCACGACACCAAATTGCTGATTCTCGCTCTTGAACGACTTCGTGAGTCGTACAGCGTTAAAAACCGTCTAAATCAGTCTCAACGAGAGGAGCTTGGACTGATTGAACAAGCATATGATAACCCGCACGAGGCTCTTAGCCGCATTAAACGCCACCTCCTAACACAGCGTGCATTCAAGGAGGTGGGCATCGAATTCATGGACCTCTATAGTCATCTTGTACCGGTATATGACGTGGAGCCTCTGGAAAAGATCACTGACGCTTATTTAGATCAGTATCTCTGGTATGAAGCTGACAAGCGACGACTATTTCCACCATGGATTAAACCTGCTGACTCCGAACCACCTCCACTTTTGGTTTACAAGTGGTGTCAGGGTGTAAATAACCTAAAGGTAAGATTTATTTCTGCCATAAGCTTTGAACGTTTTGGTCATAGTCATGTTGAACTTTCTGAATTTAGTAAGTCGCGAGTTAATTTTATAGCAGTAAATAATTGTAGGCAAAGCAAATCCGATAATCATAAGGTCGTACTACGCAAGCACGAACTGTATCTATTCTCATTTTTTTCGTATAGGATGTGTGGGAGACTGCCGATGGCGAATGCAACGTCCTTCTGGAGACGCGCTTCGAAAAGGTCTACGAAAAAGTCGACTTGAATCTGCTCAATCGCCTTCTTCGTCTGATCGTCGACCATAATATTGCGGACTACATGACGACTAAAAATAATGTGGTCATCAATTATAAAGACATGAACCACACAAACAGCTATGGCATCATCCGTGGACTTCAGTTCGCTTCATTCATCATGCAGTACTATGGCCTTGTTCTCGACCTGCTTGTACTGGGCTTGGAAAGAGCGTCTGAAGTTGCCGGACCAACGCAGATGCCCAACGACTTCTTGCAGTACCAGGTTTGCTGTGTCTGCTTTTGTGCATATTTAATGTTCTTTCGGAATACCCTTGATACTATTATTACCACACCCCTACCCCTTACAGACCTTCCTGTATGCCGAATCTGACACCAAAAGGACACGATTAGTCGAGATCACTCGAATGTCTGTTTATGTTATAACAACTTTAAACCTTTCCTTCTCACCGTTGGGAGCTCCAGTTGCAAATCCGTACAATCACTGCGGTTTTCTGTGTAGCCACGTTGTGTGACTGTTCGAGGTTTATGAAGGCAGTACAAGCACGATAGCAAACATCAGCCACCGTCTGAAATGTTCATTGCGGTTTAGATTGTTGATCCATAAAGTCACGGTTGACTGAGTCATATCCCACACAAACCCGACTAATTTTAATTCTGTTTTGTTTACTTGAACCGACCCACATCAAGCATTAGAGCCGTGTGGGAATGATAATTCCTGCTCCACCTCTACCCACCAACGTACTTAAAATCACATTTAACCGCTCTACCCTTCAATAATGTGCACCATGGCAAACAACTGTGTGGTTAATAGCCTTAATTCTGTTCGCCAGTGAAAGACCACCGTTGCTCTTGGTGTTTGTTATATTGGTGTTCCTTGCAGCGACCGTGACGGTGCTAGTGCTGATGATGATTATGGTTTTCGTAGTGCTATTAATGTTTGTTCCGCCGCCGGTGATGAAGAGGGTCATTATACTGATGATACTTTTAGTGTGTTTTTGTCACATTCTCATCCCATACATTTTACTTTCTCTCTCCCTTCTTAGGACACTGCAACTGAAATTGCACATCCCATTCGGTTGTACACACGTTACGTTGAGCGTTTTTGGATGTTCTTCCGTTTCACGGCCGAAGAAGCTCGTGATCTGATCCAGCGCTACCTTACCGAACACCCAGACCCCAACAACGAAAATATTGTGGGTTATAACAACAAAAAGTGTTGGCCCCGGGACAGTCGAATGCGTCTAATGAAGCATGACGTGAACCTCGGTAGGGCTGTATT